GGCCGGGGCACTTGTTTCGACCTTTCAGCGCCGAGGACGAGGAGCAGCAGCCCACCGAGATTGAGTCGCTGTGCATGAACTGTTACCGCAACGTGAGGCGGGGGCGCGGCCATGGACACCTGGAGGGTTGGGCTGAGACGGGGTTGGGGGATTGGGGTCTAGGGGTGGGTTGTGGCGGGGAGAGTCGGCGACCCGGTCAGGTGGGCCCAGCTGGGGACCCGAAGGCGAGGTAGGCCCGGGGGCCGGTAGACAGGGGGATAGAGGTTTCATTGGCTCTTTCCTTAGCGGTTTTCTGCTTTCCCAGGGCATGACGCGCCTTCTGCTTACTAAGATCCCCTTCTTCAGAGAAATAATCGTGAGCTCCTTTTTCTGCGAGCACTGTGGCTGGAACAACACGGAGATCCAGTCGGCCGGCAGGATCCAGGACCAGGGAGTGCGCTACACTTTGACCGTCAGGGCCCAGGAGGTAAGAGGAAATCACAGCAGTTACCCTAGTGTCTTAGAGAAAGCCCGGGGACTGGAGTCAGAGCTCTGGTTCAGGCCGTCCGACCTCGAGCAAATTTCCTTATGTGTCCAAGCCTCAGTTTCCGCCTTTGAAAAATGGCATCGGTGCTGTCATCTGTTCAGGTGAGGTGAGACTTGTGAAAGTGCTTTGTAAACTTTGTCCGATGGAATCAAGTGAGCAGTGGTTGCTATGAGTGGTACTCTCACCATTTGGGCAGCTGGTTCCATCAAGGTTCTTTTCTACATGAGTAGTCTAGACTCCCTGAAGTGGAGAGAGGAAGAAACAGTGGGCCGGGGGCTCTAAGGAGGGCGACAGTGTGCTATTTCCTGCAGAGAACCTGTACTGTTGACCTCGGTGGACTGAGAATTTTTCTTTTTGCCTAGGACATGAACAGAGAAGTAGTGAAGACTGACTCTGCCACCACTAGGATCCCAGAGCTGGATTTTGAAATTCCTGCCTTCAGCCAGAAAGGAGGTAACGTTAAGATCAGAATAATTAGTCTGTTCATCTTCATGCCTAGCCAAAATCTTGCTTTCTTGCAAAATCCCTGGTACCAGGTGTAGTGGCTTGTGTATGGGTTTGGCCATGTAATCATTGTGATCTTCATTGGTTTCACATAAGCGGAAAGCTTAGATAAAACAGCTTGAGATGGTAGATAGCAATAGTAAGACTGTGATGTGCTTATTACAGAACTTTAACATCACTCTCATTAGATGTGAATGGAACCTTGTTCCCTGCCTCCCTATTTTACATATGACATTAAGGCCCAGAGAGTTCAAGTGAAATGCCCAGGCTCTTACAGGCACTTGCTAGGAGAGCCAGACTTACCTATCTTTTGTTCTTGTTGACCAGCTCTGACCACTGTTGAAGGATTGATCAGCCGTGCTGTCTCTGGCCTGGAGCAGGATCAGCCCACACGAAGGGTGAGCTGGGGTTTTCTGATTACAGCAGCTCAGGGAATAATTATAGTATATAGTTGTATATACTTGTTGAGCTTCCTGTGTAGCTGAACTGCCTCTGATTGAATGTTGGAGAACTTGGGGGGAAGCATGCTGTGGTGCTGTGGCTGCCTGGATGTTGCTTGTGTTGTACCGCTGTCCTTTCCATTGCCCTTCCCCCAGTGTATTCTGAGGCTTCTTCTCAGACAGACACTGTAATATTACCTCTGAAGAGCCTTTCCTAATACCCTTGGGTTTATCTGTACTTCCTGAGTGTTTCATTGTATCTTATATATATTAGGATATTTCATACATATGTATGAAATAATATAATTGCACATTTAGTCATCTGTCTTCTTAACTGGCCGTGGAGCCCCATAAGAGGACTCTGATTTATATACTGTTGTCTGTAACCTGGCATGAGGGCCTGGGCTAAGTGGTTGAATGAGTGAGAAAATAAGGCTCGTCTGGCACCCCCCCATAAACTTCTAACTCACTTGCTACTTCTTATTGTGAAGCCTGAGTCTCTGTTTCCACTCAAACTAAGATGGACGGTGACTTCCTGTTGGAAGTGATGTGGGCATGACAGGGAGTGGAGACACGAGGTCTGTCACCAGGGTCGATGCTATTACTCTCTGTTCATGTCAGGCAAACGAAGAAGCCATGGCTGATAGGATTGATGAGTTCATTGTCAAACTGAAAGAGCTAAAGCAGGTGGCCTCTCCTTTCACCCTGGTGAGTACTGAGGAACTCTAGGTGCCCTAGATTTAGGGGAGGAGAGACCATTAAGACTGTCTGAGATTTTTCTACTATGGTGCCTGAGTAGTCTGATGGCAGGTGGAGGATTGCATGTGATTTCTTGTTGTAACTGCTCTCTTTACCCATCTGTTAGATCATTGATGATCCCTCAGGGAACAGCTTCGTGGAAAACCCACACGCTCCCCGGAAAGATGATGCCCTGGTGATCACACACTATAACCGGACTCGACAGCAGGAAGAGATCCTGGGGCTCCAGGTAAGTGCACTGAAGAAGCCAGAAGAATGCTCTGGAGTTATCTTGCACTCTGGATTGCTTGGAGTCAGTGGGAACTTATTTTGCTGCTGCCGTTCTGTGCACTCTGTCTCAGCACATGAATGCCTCTCATCCAGCTCATGGAAGGACTTAGGGTAAACTTTACAACACAGAACAGCAGGGGCTGTGATTCTGTCTTAAGCTCTGTTCTTCCCTTGACTGGGGCTTTGCTTTTTGATTTCTCTGTTAAACCCATGAGGTGGCAACTGACATAAACAAACCAGAGCATTTTCTCTCCCTCCAGGGTGGGGTGTTGGGGAGGCTGAGATCTATGTGACGTCTGATTTGCATCTCTGTTACTTTAGGCAGAGGCACCAGAAGAGAAGCCAGAAGAGGAAGATCTCAGAAACGAAGTGAGTCCCATTGGCTACAGTGGAGGAAGGAGCAGAGTTGTGGGCTGAGACTGGTGCTATTCAGTGTCTCTCTTCCTCACCACCAACACGGGCGGCCACCAGCATACCAGCTGAGTGTCTTTAGCCTGAGCAGGGTTCAGCCGCCTGGGAGGGCTCACCCTGCATCCCCATGTTGTGTTGCAGGTGCTCCAGTTCAACACAAACTGCCCGGAGTGCAATGCTCCGGCCCAGACCAACATGAAGCTAGTTCGTATCTTTTGTCAGGCAGTTGGGTTGCTCTTCATCTGACTCAGGCATGAAGATTATGTTCAGGCTGGAGAGTACTCCCTTCAAGGAAAGCACATGCTTTATTCTGAATGATGAGGAGGATGTTGACTTTGATGAGACTGTGCACCTTGGCTTTTGGGTTCAAAGAGCGTCAGGCCATGGTCTCTAGGCTCCTGTGTGTGAGCTGAGCCATGCCGTCAAACACTGGTGAACAGGGATCACCGTGGGGTGTGACCTTGCCCTCTTCTGGGGGGCAGTCTGTGTTAGGCTGCTTCTTGTGATCTGTTTCCTGCATCCTGGGACCAGCAACTATGTGTTTGGGTTTGTTCTTCCCCAGAGGGTGGTCTTGCTATCCTGGAAGCAGATTTCCTTAATTCCACCTGCCAGAAATCCCCCACTTTAAGGAGGTTATCATCATGGCCACCAACTGCGAGAACTGTGGCCATCGGACCAATGAGGTGGGTGGGCGTCATCGCTGGGGAAGGCTGGCTTGAGGGTAACGCCTAACTTTCATCCATTCTAAAGCTGCTTAGGGTGAGGAGCTCTTGAAGGGACTAGGAATTACAGAGGAAAAATTAGAGACAGCATAGCTTATTGAAGACGTATTTAAAGTTGGTTATGTGGAAGAGAGACCCACTTTTGACCTACCCCTCAGAGGAGTGGAATTGCAGGGAGGCAGATTTTGACTTAGTAATAAAGAACTTTCTAGATCTGTCTGAAAGTAGAATGGGCCACCCTGGAGGATTGTACATTCCTTTTCCCTGGGTATATTCAAGCATAAACTGTTTAAATTCTTAAACTAGAAAATTATAAAGGGGATCTACACATTAGTTGTAGTTGGAAGTCCCTTTCAACCCCAGGAGTCATTTTTTTTTAAAAGGTGAATTTAGTTTCTTGGCACTTTGGGGTAAGTTTTGGCAGCTTCCTGGGCTGAGTGTTCTGCGTTTGGTTTGGGTGACTGCTGAAACTGTGGGTTTAAAAGGCACTGTCCTTTGTAGCTGTTAGAGGGCCTGATTGGAGGTCCAGGCCTACCCCCGAGGTCTCCCCGCGCCAGGTGAGGATCGGGGTCTCCTCTCCTGCTGCCCCTGACACTGCTGTCTATGCAGGTGAAATCTGGAGGGGCTGTGGAGCCCTTGGGCACCAGGATCACCTTCCACATCACAGATCCCTCAGATATGACCAGAGACCTGCTCAAGGTAACAGCCTGCTTGGGAAATTCTCTGCATGTGGCTGTCCCTGCTGAGGGGAAATTCTTTCTTCGGTTATGTCCTGGGGTCATGGGGTGTCTCCTTACTTGGGTTTGAGGATCCCTGAGCATAGTTTATCTATGGTTGGAAGTGCAGATTCAGAAGGTGACCCAGAAAGAAAGGCTCTTTCTGATGACTTGGCAGCCTTTTGCCTCCTGTTTGTAAGAGCCCTTGTTTCTGGCCTCTGATGACAGGATGCTTGCCAGCTTGAAGCCATGACTCAGAATGCCCCCCTTTTTAGGCTGGTTCCAGGAGTGAGTCTGGCTTTAACTAGAGACTCAGAGAAAACTGGGACAGCTGACTTTGTCCCCAAGCTGTCCTTGGTGGTATTAATTTGGCAACAGGACTCTGGTTAGCTTTCTCTAGTGGCTCCTGATTTAAAGCCTAACTTGATCTCTCATCTCACAGTCTGAGACATGTAGTGTGGAAATCCCAGAGCTGGAATTTGAACTGGGAATGGCTGTCCTCGGGGGCAAGTTCACCACACTGGAGGGGATGCTGAAAGACATTCGGGAACTGGTGAGTCCCCTGAGTATAGTTGATGGCAGCTTCTGTTGGGTGGCTGTGGGGAAGGGGCTAGAAGACCCCAAATTTCTAGTTTTGGGGGCTGATAACTGGAGTTCCTTTGCTTTAAAGCTGATTTGAGAAACTTAAATGTTATTTTGGATTGTGATGATAAGTTTATGGTAAATTCAGAATGGAAATTCTCAGGCCTAAATCTTGGCCGATGGAGATATTTTGTGATTTTGCGTAAGTCATTTATGTCGCTGTAAAATGGGAGCATGAGGGTCCTTCCAGCACCTAAAACTCCTGGATGTACATGTATCTGTGTGCATTGACTTAAATCCATGTGTTTTGCCTCTTAGTGAATCATTTCACTTAATTGATTCTCAGTTGCCAGGCATTTTGTCTTTGTAAGTTGTACTTTACCTTGCATTTCTTCAAATGAGGACCATAGTTCCTATTTAAGAACGTTGCTATAGTTTTGTTTCACGTTGCCATTTTGGCAGATAAAGCCACACAGTCTTAGGAGTGGCTGTCCAGGTTGGAAAGGTGGTGTGGCCTGCATGGAGACCAAGCTTCCCTGCTGGGCCCCTCCCGCCAGCTTTATGGTTAAGCGTAACAAGCAAAGAGCCAGCATTCTAGCAGTTTGGATGCCATTTATTGCAGGTGACCAAGAACCCTTTCACACTGGGTGACAGTTCCAATCCTGGCCAGACGGAGAAACTGCAGGAGTTTAGTCAGAAGCTGGACCAGGTGAGAGGACTCAGACCACCTGGTCTGTGCTTGTGGTCTGGGGCTCCAGGGAACAACAGGCTGCATACCCTTTCCTGCCACATTTTAACATCTAACCAGAATGCTGGGGATTCTCCTGGTTTCTCTGTCCCGTGCTGTTTCCTTTCTTGGTTTTTTTCTCCTTTATTTTGTTGGAGCATCTTCACCAGTACCTCCTTGAGAAAGTGCATGGGAAGTAAGATTTCTGGGACTTTACATGTCTGAAAATTATTTCAGTCTCATACTTGATTGACTAATGGCTGGGAATAGAATTCTAGCATAGATATGAGTTTTTATCAGAATTTCTGGTCTTTCAGTCTCCCACTAATGTCTCCCAGTTTCGAGTTTGGCTATTAAGAAGTTTGAAGGCATTCTGATTCCTGATCTTTTGTTTGTGACCCAGTCTTTTGATGCCTTTTTGTCCCCTGTGATGTGAAATTTCAGGATGTGCTTTGGTGTGGGTCAACTTTCAACCACCGTGCTAAGCACTTGAGGGGTCCTTTGAGTCTGGAATATGGCTCAGTTCTAGGGAGCTCTTAAAAATGATTTTATTGCTCTCCCTCTCTTCTCTCTTTCTGAAACCCCTGTTTTGGTTGTTGGGCAGAGTTGTCTGGTTTTTTGTAATTTACTTATTTTTCTGTCCTGTTTTCAGTTTCTTTGTATTTGCTCTACTCTTGGAGATTAATTTTCCGAACTTTCAATTGAGTTTTTCATTTCCACTGACATATTTTTATTTTCCAAGACCTTTTTTGGTCTTTCAATACTTCCTGTCCTTTTTTTTTTTTTTTTTAAATAGCATCCTTCTGTTTAAAGGATGTAGAGTTTTTATTCTTGAGAATATTTTAATGTTGGGATTTTTTTTTGACATTTTATTTTCCTTGCATAGTTTCCATTTCATCTTAAGTTGTTTTTTGTTTGTTTGTTTTTTATTTCTGTCTTTCAGTGTTAGAGGCTTTGTTCAGATGTCTGGTAATCATTGATTGTCTTTTAAAAGTAAAGGACTAAAACACCTGATTGGGCTGAGTCTTGTTGACATTGGACTCATTGGAGGGGGATTTAGCTTAGCCACGTCACTGAGGTAACTAATACCAGAGTGGTTAGGTGTGTCCTCTTGGGCTGCTCAGATTCCCATCACTGGGTGTCCCATTTCCTGGCCTGAGAGTGCGGGCTTGGCTGGCAGTGTTCTGAGAGCCCAGCATGGGAAGAGGGCTGCGGTGTGGGTATGTCTGTTTCCATTAAGGGTACAGTCAGTCTCCTGCTCTTGACTTTTTTCCCCCTCTGCCCTCAACTGGGCCAGTGTCCCCCAGTCCATGGCGTGCTGTGGTTATTTCTCCACAGAGTCCTCAGTCTCCTGTTGGGATGGGGGAAGGGCGGTTGTTGGTTTTTTTGGCGTGGTTAGGGATGCCGGAGTGCTTCTCAGGTAGCTTTCAGACAGTCCTTATTTTAGAACCTCTCATTCCATTTCTAGACGTACCTCGTTTCACAAGTTCTTAGAACTTTGGGGGGATTCTGCAGTGTACACTGGGTTTGTTCCTGTCTGGCAGACACGGTCCCTTCCTGCCAGGAGCCTGTGAGATTTACGTGCTCGTGCTGTGCCCTCTCTCCCTCAGATCCTGGACGGTGACATGAAGGCCCACTTTGTTATGGATGATCCAGCAGGAAACAGCTACTTGCAGGTACAGTAGACCTTCCCTGGTATTTCATAGAGAGATACTTTCTGACCTTCCTAAAATATGTATCATTTTTCCAGAAACAGAGAGACTTAATTCTGAATGAACTACTTTTTGTCAGGGAACCTCTTAGCAGAAATTGGAACATAAGGGAGGAAGCGGGAAGGTGGGATGGATTGTGATTATGTGTCAAGAGGGGAAAAAGGAGACCCCCAGGTTCCTTCCTCCTCTAGTCTAGCCGGTGTCCCCAGCTCTGAGCCCAGCAATGGAGTTTTCATCTTGCAAATCTGATTGTGGAGCAAGGAGGAATGGTGCCTTTTCCAGAGGCCAAGATAGGGAAACTGAAAGGCTATAAGCTATGACTAGTGAGATATTCTGGTGATTGATAGTAACTTCAACATTTATTGAGCAGTTATTATGGGCCAGGCACAACTGTTCTAAGGTCTCTCCACAATTTAGACTATGCTGCTCTCTTTAGATAGGAAGTTTTTTAGGCAAACTGTTCCCTCATTCCGCCTGGGACTGGACAGTCCTACTCTGAGCCCATGTGGGCTCTGTTGCTGCCTGTGAGTTGAGCCTAGCCATGAGGTGTTGGAGGCCCTTAGAAATAAAGAACTCATGAAGTTTTTGGGGAAGTGGGAATTGGAAGCTGCTGGGGGAGAGAGGATCTCAGGATGGCACAGGCACTGACAGTCTGGCCTTGCAGAATGTGTACGCACCTGAGGACGATCCTGAGATGAAGGTGGAGCATTACAAGCGCACATTTGACCAAAACGAGGAGCTCGGGCTGAACGACATGAAGACGGAAGGCTATGAGACAGGCCTGGCTTCCCCGCGGTAGCAGTGGGCGGTTCCCGGCCAGCCCCCAGCGCTGCTCAACCACAGGGTTATTACTGCAGTGGAAAAGGCTGGAGTGTCCCTTTCACCAGGCCTTGCCTGTGTAGGGAGGACACCTGGTCTGAGTTGGAGATCTGGGCACACTTTCTGAACAGCTTGTGATGGAAGTGCAAGCCTCTTGGGTTACTTGATCTTGGGTTGGAGGTTTTGAGTTGGCCTGGAAGAAACCTGGAAATGAGCCATCAGGCATGTCATTGACACTTTTTTTCCGATTAAGTCTTTACCCTCCCTCCACACAACACTTTCTCACCTAGGATTGGCACTCTGAAGTTGAGAAGGTAGAAGACAGCTACAAATGAAGTTTGGGAGTTGGTTTGGGTATATAAACACTGGCTTTCAACAGGAGAAAGAGTCTTCTGAGGGGAAGGAGTCTAGCTCAGGTGAAGAAGTTCTCATTAAAATGGTGGCTTTCAAACAGCACTGGCCTCTGAATTCATTCTGTCCTTGTTTGGTCTGCTGGTAGAGTTCAACCTCCTGAAGAAAATTTTCTCCAGAGTGAGCTGGCATTTCATTCATTCCTTTAATAGATGCTTATGTGCTCACTCTGTGCCAGGCATATCATAGAACTGAACAAAATAAAGCTCTGCTTTCATGCAGTTTCAAGTGTAGTGGGGGAAATTGGCAAGCAGAGTGGGTGGGAGGTTGACAATAAACCCACAAGTAAAACAGTGTCAGATTAATCACCATGTTATGGAGGAATGTTCAGCAGGGAAGGAGTCTGGGTAGTGCCAGGGAAGATGGGGGCATTTGCTTTTATTAGATGGAACTGCCAAGAAAGGGCAGAACTTAGACTGTGCCACTGGTCGTGAATCATTTGATCCTGCTTAACTTCCTTGTGAGATAGACAGGGTTAAGACCTGAGCTTGGGTCTTGTCAGGCTAAGGTTGGGTTGGATACTGAGTAGAACAGGTAAAGGTGGAACTGAAGACAGAAATGGGCAGGAGGTGATGGGTTGAGAGGACTATACTGGTACTGTTCACTGGAACAGAAATGTGACTTCCCAAACACCTGCTGACACCAGGGTGGAGGCGGGGCTGTGGAGTTCAGTTTGAGATACATTGAAGTGGACTAGAAACCAAGACAGGGTTGTGGATGGGGGACCCATGGGGCCCTCCAGCTAGTGAAGTTCAATGCCTCTTCTCACTAGTCCTCAGAGACCTGACCTGCTTTTCTTCCTAGGCCTGTGCTGTGACCATTCAGTATAGCCCAGTGGGTAAAAATGCATGCTTCAGGGAAGTGATCTCCAAACCTGTTTTGTTATTAAATAAGTATTTTCTGAGCATGTATCCCAAGATATGTGTATTTATTTATGAAGTATAAAAATGTCTTCTTGACTATATATATATATATAAATAGCAACAAAAATTTAACATAAATGGTGAGAGAAAATATACAATCAATTTTTTTTTCCCAAGAAATTTGGATTACCTCTTGAACTCCAGTTTGCTAGCCTCTGCTCCCAAGGGTCATATGTTGTGGCTGTGAAGCTGAGCAACTTAACCTTTCCAAGCTTCAATTTTCTCATCTGTAAAGTAAGGATAATAAAACCATCTGAGAATTGTGATGGTTAAATGAGATAATTCAAGTAAAGCTCTTAATGTCCACAAGAAGAAAAGACTTTTCTCCCCAGACTTGAGTATTAGAATTCAATCTATAGTTTCTCTCTTTTGCTATGCCAAAAATAGGTCCAGGTCCTTTTCATTGGAAAATTCTACACAAGAGATAGCTAGGGCCAACCAATAATATAAAATGTGGGGGAGATAGGTTAGAAACCTCCATGTTAAATTTTTTTTTGGAATATGAAAATGAATATATGTATGTATATGCATGACTGGGACATTGTGCTGTACACCAGAAATTGACACATTGTAACTGACTACTTCAATTAAAAAAAAGATTTTGAAAAATTGAAGTATAGTTAATTCGCAGAGTTGTGTTTCAGGTGCACAGGAAAAGTGATTCAGCTACACACATACACACACACCTGTTTTTTGTGGCCCTTGCGTGAGCTGAGGGTTTTTGCAAAGAAAAAAACACTCTTTTTCGGATTCTTTTCCACGATAAGAAACCTCCATATTTTTAATGGCAATTATATTGGGTTTGGAATTACTGACTTCTCTCTTGAATGGTCCTCGAAAGCCTGTTGAAGCAGATTCCTCTCCACCTAAACATACTAATAAGAATAACTGACATACTGTGTGCCAGGTGCTGTTGTAATCATTTTACACAGTAATAATATTACCTCAGTCCTTGGAACCATTGAGTTAGGTGTCATTATTATTCCATTTTGTAAATAACTTGCCCAAGGTAGTACAGCTACAATGTTACGGAACCAGAACTCAAACTTAGATACACTGCAACTCCAGAGTTCGTGTTCTTATCTACTAGCCTATGGTGCTTCTGAAGCTGCTGGGGGCAGAGGTCTTTTGGGGTCGTGGTTGTAGCCTCGGGGCTCCAACAGCGCTTGCTGTGTGGTCTGTTGAATGAGCAGAGGGACGGACAAAGAAGAAGCGCAGTTGTGCGATCTAAGGGATGCAGACTGGGCCCGAGAAGCAGGCGTGTTTCTGCAAACGCTCTCACCTGTCAGCCTGGGCGGTTCCAAACACACCCACTTCCGGTCCTGGCCCCGCCCCCCGAGTCGCGGCCGTCTGTTTCGCGTTCAAGAAGTTTGTCCCCAGCGCCGAGCCGTCTCCCCGCCCGCGCCGCTGCCATGGCGGCAGCTCCGCTGCTCTCCAAGGCCGAGTATCTGAAGCGTTATTTGTCTGGGGCAGATGCCGGCGTCGACGGGGGCCCTGAGTCCGGCCGCAAGCGTCGCAAAAAGCGGCCGAAGCCTGGCGGGGCCGGCGGCAAGGGGTGAGTTGGCCCCGGTGGCGCGGGGTCCGCGCGGTTCGCCGCCCCTCACTTTCCCAGCTCCGCCCTCGGCCCGGCTCTTCCTGGGCTCCTCGCCCGCGGCCCCGCTCTTCTGACTGCTCGCCAGACACTGTCTGAGCCCGGAGCCCGCTCAGGCCGCTCCTCGCGCCCCTGGGCAGAATCTTCGATGTGTTCAGGCCAGGCGGTAACTTTCACTATTTTCCCGCCTTTGTAGCATTTCGTCAAAGGCGTAGAGAATGAATATTGTGCCCTGAGAATAATGGTGGAGCGAATTCAGAGGCTCTGGGCTTGGATATTTAGGGCCCAGAACCTGTCTGTGGGGTTCTCTAATCCCAAAGATTATGGACCTGAGTCAGAGACCTGTGCTTTCTTCCTGTTACTCTTACTTGTCCTCCTAACAATAAGATTTACACAGTTCTTGTCGTGCACCAGGCACCGTTCTAGGTACTTTAGACCTAAATGAATTTATTTAAGCTTCATAACACTACCATGAAGTACATATTGTTGTTTTCCCCATTTTTCAAGCGAGAAAACTTGTGTGGCCCAGTGTGCTGCGTTGAATAGTGCCCTTTCCTCTCCAGTTGACCTCAGAACGTCAGAAAGTGACCTCATTTGGAAATAGGGTCTTTGCAGATGTAATTAAGGTAAAGTCATAGTGGGTTTGGATGGGTGCTAAATCCAGTATGACTGGTGTCCTTTTAAGATGAGGGAAATTTGGACACGGAAACAGGTATAGAGGAAAAACGACCATGTAAAGATGTAGGCTGAAACCCTAGTGGATGTATGTCACCACTAGCCAAGGTATGGCCAGGGCTACCAGAAGTTGGAAGAGTCAAGGAAAGCTCTTCCCCTAGAGCCTTTCTGGTGAGCATTCCCTTGCGGACACCTTGATTTCAGACTTGAAGCCTCCAGAGCCGTGAGAGAATATGTCTCTGCTGTTTTAAGCCACCCGATTCTTGATGCTTTGTTAGGCAGCCCTAGGAAACTAATATACCCAGTAAATTCAAATAGTTCCAAAGAACTAATCCAGTTCCTTTCCTGGTTTGGTTGTGTTATTCATGCCTTTTGTCTTCCTGCCCCTCTGACTTGTGTGGATCCTTTGGAGGCAGTGCCATGTAATGAAATTAGCTTGAGTTCTGAAGCAACACTGATCAGAGTTTGCATCCTAGCTGTGCCATTTTTTGGGCCGTGTGGCTTTGTGCAAAATGTTTCATGTCTTTAAGCTTCGGTTTCCGTATCTTTAAAGTGAAAGTAATACTGAATGATATCACTTATATTAAATGGTTGTTGTGATTAGTGATTTTGGCTTTTCAAATAATAACTAAGTACATCACGGTGGTCATTGTTATCATTTGAACTCATCCATTGTTTAACCATGTAACAAACACGTATTGAATACTTTTCTATGCCAATTACTGCAGGGTATTGAGGATATCACTGTGAATGAAAGAGGCGTAGTCCCTCTTCCGATGGAGCTTATAGTTTAATGGGACTACAGCCTTTAAACAAGCTAACAACCTGTTGATTTATTTCTTTTGTAATAAATGAAATGAAAGTATTCCAAGAATGTGTAACAGGGGTTCCTAGCTGGAAGGGATAAGGGGGAATAGTCAAATAGTCAAGTTAGGTATGCATGCTCAAGGAGGTTATATATATGCTAGGTTTTTAAGAATGAGTAAGAGTTTCCCAGTAAAGAATGAGAAAGGTAGGTCAGGCAGAGGGAAGGAACTGGGTATGTGAAACTGATCTGGAAAGAAATTTGGCTCATTCTAGGCACCAAAAGATGACCAGCGAGTAGTGAACTGAGGAGGCAGTGGTACCAGATGAAGCTGGCCACATGGGCAAAGACTAGACCATGCAGGATCTTGTAGGATTTTGAGCTTTATCCTAAAACCAATAGGTTAAGTGTTTGTAGGCTGTTATCCAAGAGTGAGTCTTCTCTTTTGATCTTTTATCTTTTCACATTTAGAATGCGGATTGTGGATGATGATGTGAGCTGGACTTCAATCTCCACCACTAAACTGGAAAAGGTGGAAGAGGAAGATGATGGGGATTTGCCTGTGGTATGTATCTTTTGAGGCTGTGAGGACTTTGAAATCCAAGCTTCTCAATCTTGACTCCCAATGCAGGATAGATTTATGAAGGGGAAAGTTGAGGGCAGAGAAGAGGTGACATTTTCTAAGAACTATTTTAAAATAATCTTCTTTGATGATGCCTGTACAGTCTTTGTTTTAGAGGATCCATCAGCTTAGATATGGGAACTAATCACAGAGAGAGGCAGGACTCCCTAGTGTCAGTGATAGAGCCATGATTAGAGTTAGCCATGGTTCAATTTGTTGGAGTCTACTTCAGAAACAATGCACAATTTCAATTATAGGAAACTTTTTATTTGCTCTCTTTGTTCATTGATTCAGCTAAGCTTTAAAATTGTATACCTTGAGTACTGGAGATATGTAAATTAACAGAACACAGTGTCTATACTTTAGAGGTCATACCCTAGAATGAAAGACAGTTTCAAATGATTTGAGCCGTATGATAAATGTAAGAGATGTTGTTTACATATGCATCAAGTGCTATTAGAGCACAGGGAAGGTAGCACACTTTTTATTCCATTGGGAAATTCCACAAAGGATGTAAATATCTGAATTGAGTTTCAAAGGATGAGTAAGAGCCAGGGGGTTAACAGCATAAGCAAATAAGTTAGTGTTGGTATCGTCATGGGACCTGTGCTCAGAATTGCTGAGAAACAAGGTGATGAAAAAGAGAGCTGTTGTTAGGCTGTATTATACTAAAAGGTTGTAAAGATGAGTTCCAGGTAGGTATATTTAATGTTAATCCCCAGCATTTCTATACTAGGTCACTTAAAAGAAGATTTGTTAGTAATTAGATGGGAAATAGTGATCATAAGGAACCAGTGTAATTTCAGTCAGAATGAATTACTGAAACCTGATTAATATTTACAATATTTGTTGTTATGTTTTATTTTTATAAAAGCAGTTCATATTTATTATAGAATGTTTTGGAATTATAAGAAAGTTGAAAGTTTTAAAAAGCATATAATGATCACTTACTTATAATGTGACCATCTAGAGATAACAACTGCTAGCATTTGGGTGCATCCCTCTTTAACTCATAGATTTTATTTATTAACTCATTATATTTTATTTATTTTTTAAAATATAATTCAGATCATACTGTACATATGATTATGGAGCCTGCTTTTTCATTTAATAATATGTTATCAATACTTCAATAAGACTTTAAAATATTCTTTGAGAATGTGACTTTTAATGGTTGCATAGTAGTTCAATGTGTATATTAATTTAACCTGTCCTATTATTGGACATACGAGTTGTTTCCAGCTCTGATTAGCATCTTAGACCTAAATCATTGTAGGAATCTGCTTATTTCTTTATTCTCATGAAGTGAAATTAGTAGGTTGGAGAGAATGATCCCTTTTGAGCTCTTTCCCATATTGCTTTCCAAAAGGTGGTACTAGTTTACACTCCCACTAGAGGTATATGTGAATGCCAGTTTCCCCATTTCTCCATCAATACTGGAGCATTATTAGCATTAATAAAAACAACAGCAGACTTACGCCAGTTTGGCAGGTGAACCAATGGTATCCTGTGTCTTTGAAAAATAGTGAAATGAATAATTTTTTATTTGTTCATTGGACATTTGTGTTTTATGAATTTCTTGTATTTGTCCATTTTTTAGAAAATTGGAATTTTAATTTTTTCCTTTGATTTATTTGCTATTTGTGTAACAATAATATCTCTTACATGTCATAAGTATATTTTATCATTTGCTTTTTCATTTATAATAGTTTTTGATATTTAAGTGTCTTAATTTTTATATAGTCAACTCTATTAATTCTCCTTTCGAGTGTTGCCTTTTGCTCTTATCATTGTCCTAGAACTGAAACAAGGGAAGCTTTAGCCTCACTGGTCTCTATGCTGGTTAAAACAGATCTTGATTATTAAATTCACTTTTGTTACTGCAAGATCAGCACCACCATTAGTAACGGTAAAATGATTAGGACAACCACAGTAGCAGTGGGAGCGCAAGAGTAATAGGTATAATTTACCATGTACTGAGCTCTGCTGAGCTTACATGAATTATCTCATTGAATCCTCATAGCAATCCTTTGATTGTACTTTTGCAAATGGGGAAATTGAGGCTTAGAATATTTTGCCAAAGGTTACACCAATTATATTACAAACACAAAATATTAAGTAACAAAGCTGGTATTTAGATCTCTGTTCATCTTGCTTTAAGCCTGTGTTTTTAATGCCCAATGAGAGACCTCAAAACTAGATTATGTGAAGAATGATGATAGGATCTTGGGAGAAGAGAAGAAGTAGAGGGGAATTATGACCTGGGTTAGAAATACAGTTCTGCCACTTACTATCTTTTAACATCAAGAAAAAGTTACTTCACTTCTCTGAGCTCTTTAGTAATGTGGAGCCTTTCTTTGTGGGGTTTTTGCGACGACTGAATAAGAAAAGCACGAAACACAGTGCCTTGCACATAGTTGCTCCTTTATATCTAGAATTTATTAAGCCAGCCATCTTTGAAGGGCTGTCATGTGGAAAGGGGATCTGTTGCTTCAGAGGTCAGAAACTAGGGTTGATGGGAAGAAGTTACATGAAGGTAGATACGCGTCCAAATAACGAAGAACTTTCTAGCCCCAAAATGTAGTGGTCTGCCTTGTAATATAACTAGTTCCCTGCCAGTGAAATGTTTCCCTGTCAGGGAGGACTCGGTGAATGATCATTTATCAAGGACTCTATAGAGAACATTCCAGATTTGTTTGGGAATTTGGATGATATAAAGTATAGTTTTATCCCTTAAAGCGTCTCTGATTCTGTGTACATCTTAATGAATTCTTTTGGTTGGATTCAAGAGAACCTATCATTATGACTACCTGCAACAAGAAGGCTTTCACAAAGAGCCTGAAGCCTTGATGAATGAAGGTATGACACAGAGCATGCCTGTGTTTTCACTCTGAATGTAAACTAAGAAAGGTGAAAGAAGTTAACTTTTAACTTACAAGTGGCAGTTGTCTACCTAGTAGGTTAATAAAAAAGGTTTGTAATGAAAGTAATTAACCTTGGAGGGAAATTGATTAGTCAGAGAAAGATCTGTAATTAAACCATCCAGTGACAGTCACATGTTCATGGAGCAAATGTAACTGAGGACCACTGTGTGTTTCTTCATGGTCATTTTGGGTCTGTGTGTGTCATGTATTTTTAGGAATGGGAATGGTCATAGCTTCTGGTCCCTGAGACATCGGTGCCCCTTGGCTGGATCCTGTGGGTTTCCTCAACATACTGCTCTCCCTCCACAGGTGGCTGAGTTTGTGGATGAGAGGCCAGAAGAGGTAAAGCAGATGGAAGTCTTTCGTTCGAGTGCCAAATGGAAGCTTCTGGGAGGTGAGTTCCAACAATAGATAAATCTGATTTCCCCGTTTATAGAGGAAGCCTTTTTCTCTGTTCTACACTTTTCTTCTTAAAGGAATACATAGTTTGTTTTCTTATGTCATTGATCCTGAAGAATATAAGTGAAAAAGAATTCAGAACTTCTTGCAAGGTAGTAATAAGACTTGGAAACTGAGAAACCAAGTATTCCTCTTCTACTTATGTATTGGTATTAGGGTTTCTGAGGTTAGGAGGTGACTCCTTTGGGGGACTTTGAGCACCCACTCCTCTCTGCCCCAGAATAGGAGTGCACTTAGTATACAGGCAGGAGTTTGCAGGTATTTTCAAGAATCTGAGGAACAGAGTTTGGAGACTTCAGCAAGCTCTCTCCTCTCCCAGCATGACGTAGTTCATGTATGGGCTAAGGACCAATGTTTTCTGTCCTTTTTCTTTATATTGGTAAATCTTTCATTGGTCTTCCCTTGAATTTTGGTATTTTACAGTGCATTATCCTCCACTTGCCCACTCTGCATCCTCTCCCTAGGCCAATAATTTAACTCCCTATTTAGAAGATTTTTTGAATTCTTGAAAATTAGGCAGAAGGCATTTGTTATGTCTGGGCAGAAACGAGGCCTGGTCTTATTTGCCTTAGTATTCCCACTGCCCAGTACCAGGAAAGGCTGTTAATAAATATTTCTTGAATTGCAAATAGAGTCTTGATTCTTGCAGCCTACTGCTCTTTGCTAAATCATCACTGGGGGCTTAGCAGTCATTTTCCCTTTTCCAAAAACTTAGTGGGTAGGTCTGCTTAGTAAGAGACACAGACTTAGTCCCACTGAGTCGCAGCCCTGGTCCTAGCAGTCATTTGAGCTCTGTGTGGCCAGTGGAAGGGAGCTGGTTTTTACTTGCTCTGTTCATTCCTCCATAAACACAGATCTTGTTTCTTGATAGTTGTTTAACTCCAATTTACCCTTGATACATGTTTGTTTTTCATACATGGAGGGTATAAGACTTTACTTCTGAACAGGATTTGTTCTCTCTGTGTTATATTTTGTGCCTTTAGTTTAATTATCCTACAATTCTGTTTAGAGAAAAATACATAACAAAAGTGACAGTTGGCTATAGGTTAATAATCACTATGGCCTCAGTTAATTTTTAGTACATTATTATTATGTTTTATGAATGAAAACTTTATCACTGTTCTTTTATCAGAATCCTGTTCACTCTTAATCTGTTACTTTCAGGTGTATCCTGTAGTTGTGTTTCCAGTGTTTTTCATAATCCTTTTTTCAGAGAGGATCTTCTGAACTCCTTATCTATAGGCCTAGGAAGTGATACACACACACACACACACACACACACACACAACAACACACAAGGCCTAGGAAGTGATACACACACACACACACACACACACACAAACACAAACACACACAAACAGTTCTTTTTCCATTTGCTTCACTCTTAATGGCCCATCCCCATTTGTTACTGGAAATATCCTCACTGATCTCTGACCCTTATTTCCTTTTTATAAATACATTGGAATTTATCAACCTTATAGATTAATCATCAGGTATTCCACAGATGTCAGCACTTTTCTCTGGATGGATTCCAATCAGATAGGCCTGTTCCCCAAAGTAAAAGAGTTCACTTGGTTTCATTCATCCGTTTAACAGGTAGTCATTGGGGCCTACTCAGCTTTTTTTTTTTGTATTTGTATTTTATTTGTTTTTGGAGCTCAGTGATAAGAACTAGAGGAAGAGGAGAAACTGGGTTTTGGAAATGACCTTATTTGCTATAAACATTTCATTCTGCTGTGCCTTTGAACATTGAAAGTCTCAAACTCTTTACTTTTTGAAGATTATCATATGGACTCTGGAGTCAGATCTGGATTTGGATATTCATTCCGCCACTTATTAGCAGTATGATTTTGGCAATTTACTTAATCTTTCTGAGTATCAACTTCTCATCTATAAAATGAGTATAACTATTTATCTCTTAGGCTGCTTGTGAGAATTAGATGAGGTAATCTATATACAACATGGGCATGCAATAGGTGATCAGTAAATGCTGACCCTTCTTTCTTTCTGGTGCTCTCTCTGTCCCTAATAAGAAGCACGATGGCATGGATTAAATAGTTAACAGCATTTCATTTTGATGTGGCACAGAGTCAGTCATTTTGCCTTTTGAAACAAGAGTGAGTATAAACTATGAATTATCTATGCTCAGTATGAGTAGGTTCCTCTGCTGAGGAGCTCTGCACAAATGAGGTTTTGGGAAAAGCACTGGATTAGGGGGTTAGAAGAGTGGGGTTCTAGCCTGTCGCTTCATCTTAGTAGGTGTGACCCTAGGTAAGGTATCACTCAGCTTCTTAGAGTGTCTGTTTTTATGTCTGTAAAATAAGGATATATGCCCTGCTTACCTTACAGTGTGTAATATGTAAAATATATTCAGAATGCTTTGCAGATTCATGGCTTGTTAGGCAAATCGGAGAGATTATTCTCAAGGTATTGTTGAGTGCTGGCTTACTACCCCTAAGTAAGAGAGTTGTACAGACCGTTCGGGCTTTCTGAGTAGTTTTGAGATGTGTGCTGCTGAGACATCTTTTTAAACTTTGATTACTGGGGGTGAACAGAGCATTTGTGGGAATCTGACTCTTTGTTATTTGTGTTTAGGCCACAATGAAGATTTACCTTCACACAGACATTTCCATCATGATAGCCCAGATCCGTCTCCTCCAAGGAGGGTCCGTCATGACACCCCGGATCCATCTCCTCCAAGGAGGGTCCGTCATGACACCCCAGATTCGTCTCCTCCAAGGAGGGTCCGTCACGACACCCCAGATTCTTCTCCAAGGAGAGTCCATCACGACTCCCCAGCTCCTTCTCCTCCTAGAAGGGTTCGTCATGATTCCCCAGATCTGTCTCCCCCCAGGAGGCCCCATCATGACTCAGACCCATCTCCCCTGAGGAGGGCCCATCATGATTCACTGGATCCTTCTCCCCTCAGGAAGCCTCATCGTCATTCTTCAGGTGTATCTCCTAGGAGGGCCCGTCATGACACACCAGATCCATCTCCTCCTAGGAGAGCCCACCACAGTTCCTCAGATAGCTCTCCCCTGAGAAGGGCCCGTAACAGCTCCCCTGACACAGTTCAACCTAGAAGGACTCTCGACTCTGTGGACACATCACAGCTCAGGAGGGCCCGTCATGATTCCCCTGATTTGGCTTCTAATGTTCCTCCTTCACTGCCCAGAACCCAAAGCAGCAAAGCCCCAGAAAGAGCCTCTAGCAAAACTTCTCCACATTGGAAAGGGCCAGGACCCTCTCATCCCTCACTCCCAAAGAACAGCAGATATGACTATGACTCGGACCTCTCTCCTCCACGAAGAAAGCAAGCAAGGTCCCAGTCTGGAAGTAAGCAGCATGATTCTAAAGGTGAGCGTTTGATTGCCCATAAGAGGGACTTACTCCCTAAGTGCTTTCTTTTGGACTTCTTAGTTGCTCTATTAGATATTTGTGATCTTTAGAAATGAGAATGGAGTTTTGGAGAAGTTTAAAAACTGTAGGGAAATGGTGAGAGATTGGGCTGAGGAGAGTTAAAAATTCCTAGTAGCAGGGAGGATATCTTTATGTATCCTTTTGTTTATTCTCTCCACCCCGTATAAAAGTACTGCGCGTCTGCTGCAGAAACTTTAGAATGTATAGAAATATGTAAAGAAATAGAAAAAGGTCATACAAAATTCTGTTATTCTGAGACAGTCACTGCTGGTGTTGTATCCAGTGTTCTTTTTAGCCTTTTTTAAAAATTTATTTTGGCTGTAGTTGAGACTTGTCTGTGCAGTAAATGCATATTGCATGTATGGTCTCGCCTGGTATTTTCACTCGCTCATGTCATAAAACATCTCTGTTAATATAGTTTTTGTTGGTGTTCTGTTACATAGAATTACTTAACCATTTCCCTAATATTGCATATTTTAGGTTATTATTTCTAAGTTTTTGATTTTGTAACGAACATCTTTATACATAAACTGTTGCCCTGTTCGGGATTCTTATCTACTTCTAGATAGATTTCCTAGAAACTGAAGTAACTTCTAGTTATGCTTCCTAGGAAACTAAGTAGAAATTGACTTACTGGGTCAGAGGGTTCTATATTTTTGAGACTATTTTAAGACTATTTCAGATTGCTTTTGGGGAGGTGGTTTTTGATACTTATGTCTGCAACTCAAGCCTGTGAGGTGAAATTTGTTTATCTTTTTTTTTAATTGAAGTACAGTCAGTTTACAATGTATCCATTTCTGGTGTACAGCATGTTTCAGTCATACATGTACATGCATATTTTCCTTTTCATATTCTTTTTCATTATAGGTTACTAAAAGGTATTGATTATAGTTCCCTGTGCTCTACAGTAGAAACTTGTTGTTTATCTGTTTTATATACAGTAGTTAGTATCTGCAAATCTCAAACTTCCAATTTATCCTTTCCCACCCATTCTCTTCCCCCCCTTTTCTGGTAACTGTAAGTTTGTTTATTCTACCTTGTGTTCTAGGTACTGTTTGAATTTTCAAGTTCAAATACATTGTTATCTTCTAGTCTGAGGACATCACAGTATATTCTAGGTAGTCTTAACATTTACCGCAGCACTGAGATCTGAGTGCAGTTTGTTTGCCCCTTCTGTGTGTGGGTAAATATGGCACAGACGAGTATGCTGAGATCTCACATAGCAGTCACAGTCACTAGTAACTCGGGAGTAGAACTCCACATCCTGCCTGTGGGTTTTTAAAGTTGTCTCTGACTTTGATCTTCTCCCCAGGCATTTGTACTTGCATTTAGGTTGGTGATGGTTCCTCATGAGAGGACTCAATGAATATTGAAGGTTAGCCTGGTAAATTCTTGTTTTAGATTCTGCCAAGGGGATTAAAGATGTTATTCTTCAATTTCTAGGCTCTTCCCCCAGCCATAGGAAATTTCATACAAGTTCTTCACCCAGAAGATCTCAGAGTGACAAATTGGACTCTTCTTCCTACCCAGGTGACAGTCGGAAAGCCTCTGATTCAGATCTTTCTCCTCCACGGCAGAAACAAAGTTCAGGGCACCGGGATTCTGATTCAGATCTGTCACCTCCACGGAACAGACCTAGACACCGGAGCTCTGATTCTGACCTCTCTCCACCGAGGAGGAAACAGAGGGCCAAATCTTCTGATTCCGATCTGTCTCCACTTCGAAGGAGTCAGCCTCTGGGAAAGAAGGTAGAAATTTTCAGGAGCCATATCTTTTTTTAGAGTAATTCTTGTCTTATAGCTTATACAAGTCTCAGAGGTCCCAGAGGAGGAAGAGGTATCTCTTAGTGGTACAGTAAACCTAGCTCAGAGGACCTCTTTTCTTCTCTCTAAAGGTAGGAAGGACTGCATGTAGCCCAGCCCAGATGAACTTGCAAATACCAGATTTCCTAAATAGCTTCTGCCTTTATATCCTCTTAGTTTCACAAATCTCATTTTAATAAGTCCACAGAAACTTCTGTTTTCTTATGAATAAACTGAGAACTGTAGTTTACAGAGTGGAGTTAGGAGCACAAACCTTGTGTCAAACCTGTCGCGTATTTGAATCCGACTTCTTCTGTGTACCATCTGTGAGATACGAGGAAAATACATACTGTCTCTAATCTCAGCTTCTTCATCTTTAAAATGTGCACATTAGTAGTTCATACTTTATAAGGTTCTTGTGAGAATTAAATGAGTTAGTGTAAGTGAAACTCTTAGCACAGTGCCTGGGACAAAGTAAGTGTTTAGTGTAAGCAATTACTGTCATAAATTGGACTGTAGGTCTCTATATCCAGAGCTTAACGAGAGGCACTTAAAATATAAAACTACTTTTAGAAATCGTGTCACCTGAGAAGTCAGTATTTTGTATTATTTTAAATCTATGATGAAGCCTGAATTAGCAAAAAAAGTCCTCATGAATCCTGAGTAATTGTGTTGTACAGGACATCAGTACTAGTAAAGGAATTATTCCAGTGAGTTAGGAGACAAAACGGTAGAGCCTGAGGCGTGCACGTTTCCTCCAACACAGACTTTTCAGGTGAGTCTCCCCAAAGCCCGCGTAGGCCTCGTAAAGGGTAGACCAGCCCGCCCCTAACCCAGGAAGGGCAGTTTTCTTCCGGGGAACAGAGTGAGGTCTGTGTTTTGACTGGACCCCTTGACGTTTTGTGTCTGTTTACTCTATGGACAATTTAATATTAATCAAATTTAGCACGTTACTTAAGCATATAATTGTATGCATCAATTGTGGGTTGGTTTGTTATCTTTCTATAGAGTGGACTTTAGTGAAAATGTTTTGATTTGGTCATATCTTGTCATTATTCTGAAATATATCTAAGATCTAACGATCTTAGATTGGCTTGACCTTGTGATTTAAATGGAATTTTTACCAGTGTTGGTCTCTACTGGAGGACTTAAGAGCTTGGTACGGTTTCTGATCAGGAGACCTGAGAGTGAGTCTTCGTGTGTGTGGTGAACATGCTGAAAAGTCAGAAGCACAGATTCTTAGCCTTCCCTTCAGTATCCTGTTGGTCTGTGTTTCTGTTTACTCTTAAACTTGACAGTACTATTAATTTTCCATGAAATTCAGCTTTATTTCTTCTTTTCTATTTTGTGAATCTTGTTGATAGTGAGAACATAAAGCTAGAGTTTTTGGTTTGGTTATTGCCGGTCACCAGACAGAAGTGTATGTAACTGTGTACCTACACCCGTGGAGCCTGCTGCTGCGTCGTCTCGTTAACGCTGGATGCTCCCTTTTCCATTGCATAGGCTGCGCACATGTACTCTGGGGCTAGAACTGGGTTGGTGTTAACTGACATACAGCGAGAGCAGCAGGAGCTTGAGAGACGGGACCAAGAAACCGTGGCATTTGAAGGTAAAAATGTGACAGTGCAGAGGCCAGTCAAGACTCATGTAGCTTTTATTTTTTTTAATGTAGCTTATTCTACCTGATATTTAAAACTTTTAATTGCTATCAAATTTCATTTCTGGTTTTATGCATTATTTTAACTTCTCATTGGGTCCAAGTGGTTCTTTTCCTTCTTGAAAAATGTTTTTAGGCTCATCACCAATATGCACTTAGATATTGGTGGGAACTACATGTAGTCTGGCTGTGAAAGTTCTTATCCAGCATCAGAATCCCAGGCGGTTGATTTCAGCTGTTAGAATATACTAATTTCTGATTTTGATAACTGGTGTTTATCTTTAAAAATATGATTTTCCTTTGCAGCTGAATTCCAATATGCTGAAACTGTATTTCGAGATAAGTCTGGTCGGAAAAGGAATTTGAAACTGGAACGTTTAGAGCAGAGGAGAAAAGCAGAGAAGGATTCGGAGCGAGATGAGCTGTATGCTCAGTGGGGAAAAGGGTAAGAGAACCATGGAAAGGGAAAGCAAGACGGCAGTGACTGGAGGCAGTCATTTCTATACTCTTTCGACCAGTTAGTTCATTGTTCTGCCTTCAGAGCTGTTTTCAGGTATGGGAACTTCAGTGTGCTCAGTCTCTTTCTAAGGTCCTGACATATTCCACACTCCCAGTTGGTATTCTAGGAATTTTACGCTTTTCAGTATTTGGCCTAGGCTGCTGGAAGGAGGAGGTTCTCCAAGTGTAGCAGGCCAGTCCATCTCAGCCTAAGAGTGGAAGCGTTAAACAGCATAGCAGACACTCCTGGTTCTTTTTGTCCAGGCTTGCCCAGAGCCGGCAGCAGCAACAAAATGTGGAGGATGCAATGAAGGAAATGCAGAAGCCTTTGGCCCGCTACATCGATGATGAAGATCTGGATCGGATGCTGAGAGAGCAAGAAAGAGAGGGGGACCCCATGGCCAACCTTATCAAGAAGAGTAAGGCCAAGGAGAACAAGAATAAGAAAGGTGAACCTTCTGGGGATCATCAGTGATAGAGGTGACTTACGTGAAGAGGAAGAACCATTAGGTTATGATACATAGCTACGTGCAAGGAAGGCTTCCCTGTACAATTTCAGAGTCCTTGTATTTGGGAATTTAGTTTTAACTCAATAGAGATTTCTGTATTAAATAATGTTTCCCCCTGCCATCCAGCTCTGAATTGAATTATATCGGGAACTAACTTTTCTCTCTCTCCCCTGTCATTAGTGAGACCTCGCTACAGTGGCCCAGCACCTCCTCCCAACAGATTCAATATCTGGCCTGGATATCGCTGGGATGGAGTGGACAGGTGAGCCCGAGTGTTTGCTACAGTTTGTTTTCTCTCCCATCTAACCCTAACCTTCCCTAACTGTTCTCCAATTATTCTGCACTCTGCCTCATTCTCTACTCCAATCACAAGGTTAATAATATGCAGTTTGCTTGCTTCTGTTTTTCAATTCTACTTCCCATGCATAGAACATGCCATTTCTTCCTTTTATTCCTTTTTGAAGCTTTTTATAGCTCTGGACAAGCAGCTCAGGTGGTCCAGATAAGATACCCTTTGCTTTTGACTTGGTCTTGTCTAAAGGTTTAGAGGGGATGAGTGAGGGGTGCTAGTCTCTAGCCTTCTCTGTGTTGTATCTTTAAATGTAGCCCTTGAACCTTTTCTCCACTGCCTTAGGAGTGAGTTATTGTAATGTCTCCCTGACGCCCACCATCTTGTCTGTTCACCTACCTGCATCTCTACCCATATACACTAGCTTTCTGCCTGTTGTCATGGGTGAACTATATGTGCTGCTATGCAAAGTCACGTTAGATCCTGTCTCTTGCTGCTAAAGGACGTTGTTCTAGCATCTAGCACAGTCACTCTAAGTTTGTGATCTCAAGACCCTTTTACACTCTTCAAACTTATTGAGGACCCAAAAACTTTTGTTTATCTGGATTATATCTGTTAATACTTACCATATTAGAAATTAAACTAAGGTGTTTAAAGAGTATTTATTATTTTTTTTAAGAAAGCTACTACATTAGCTTAATTACCCTATTTTTAAAGAAAAATATATTTTCCAAACCAAAAAAAAAGTGAGAAGAGTAGCATTGATTTACATTTTTGCAAATCTCAGTGTCTGGGCTAATAGTAGACATCAGAATGTTTGTTTCAACTAGTTTATTGTGTTTTTCAGCTCTCAAGTTTCCGCTTAACATATTTCTCTGTTGAGATTTCCCACCCATTCATTCATTATGAGCCATTTTATTCTTCCTTGAGTATTTATAATTGGTGCTTTGAAGTCCTGTCTGCTAATTGCAGCATTTAAGTTATCTCAGGGTTGGTTTCTATTCGTAGTTTTTTCTTGAGTGTGATCACATTTTACTATTTTTCTGTACATGTCTGGCCATTTTTAAATGTATACTGAACATTTTGAATGATACGTTGTGGAAACTTTGAATTCTCTTGTGGATGGATTAACAGCAGCTCTACATTTTAGATAAGTGAAGCATGATAGCAGTCATATGACGGATTTGAAAGACACAGATCTGGAAGTAGAGAGACAAGATACAAGGTTGTTGCAGTAGGCTAAAGGTGATGGAGGTCTGAGCCGTGGCAGTGGTGGTAAGAACGGAGAGAGAAGAAAGTAGAAAGTTGGTTAAATGATAAGGTGGCAGGACCTGGGGACTGATTTAGTGAGAGGGAGAAATCACTGGATTTGGTATTAATGACTTAAAAGAGAGCTAACTCTGTAGCACAGAGAAATGAAAGCCAGGTTCTAATGTGTTAAGGAGTGAATTAAAAATAAGAAAAAAGTATAGACAGTAAATACAGGCTCTTTCAAGAAGCTTATATAAGAAGATAGAATACGTGGTATTAGAAGGGAATTGAGGTCCACTCCTTGAAGTTCACCCCTGTATTGGCTTCCGTGACACCCCGCTTCTGGTTATTTTCTCTTATTCTTGGCCACCTTTCTGAACTTCTCTTACTCTTTGTCCTCTTCAGTGTTTCTCGGGGCTCCATCTGTAACCCTTAGCTGTTCTCAGTCCACGTGCTCTCTCTGGCCGAATCTTGTCTAGTACACCTTCAGTTACCAGCTATATGTACGTGATTCCCAAATCTATAGACTCCAGCCTGGAGTATTTAGCTACGCATTGGATTTCTCTATCGATATGTGCTTGTGGCACCTTAAGTGCAACGTGTTCAATGCTGAACTCATCAGCTTCCCCTACTCTAAAGCTGCTCCTACTCTTGTATTCTGTCCTGGTTAGTGGCAGCCTCATTCATCTGGTCGCTGAAATTGTTAGCCTGTGAGTCAAACTTGCCTCCTCCCCCTCTGCTCTTACATACCTGATCAGCCGCTGTGTTACGTCCTTCTGTGTTTTCTCTCTGTCCCTCTTTTTTATCATCGCTTTCATCATCTGTTGCTTGGACAATGCAGTAACTTTCCTGCCTCCAGTCTCCTCCAGAGTGACCTCTTTGAAATGCGGTTTATGTTCCTGCTTTAAGTTTATTCCTAGTAGATGAAATCTAAGCTTTTTACCATGGCCTGCGGAGCTCATTATGATTTGGCCTCTGCTACCTTCCTAACTTTGTTCATGCTGCCCCCTCTTCATACTTTAGGCTCCAGCCACACCCGTTTGCCTTTGGTTCCCTGCATGTACCAGGCTATCTTTATTCTTGTGCCTTTGCTCTTGTTGCTGGTGCTGTGCTGTCTCCTGAAGTGCCCTCCTGATCCTTCTGGCCCTCTGGTTAACTGTCTTTTCAGACTCAGGGTAGGCGTCCCCTCCATGAAGCCTTTCCTGACCATTCTTGTTCATCCCCTTCCCAAGTTGAGTAAGATCCCCATTCTGCTTCCATGATACCCAGTGCGTATTTCTATCCTAATTTATGCTTTTTGTTTTAATTATTTGTTTAGATGTCAGTCTCCTCCACTAATCTGTGAGTTCATCAGGTCAGGTGCTATGTCATACTTGTTTTCATGACTCAGTGCCTAGCGTATATTAAGAATTCACTAAATGTTTGTGTAATGAATGGATAAAGTACAAGATGTAGACATCAGTTGAGAGTGAGTTGAGCTTTTAGAGAGTGGTAAATGTTTGAAACAGCTGCCAAGGAGTGGGAGAATGATCTGAACAAGGACTGATAAGAGGGTGATTATGGATTTTGTCTTTTTGATTCTGTTGCTTTTCTTAAATATTTTCACAAGACTGCATTACTTTCCTTTTTTCTCATTAGACTGTGAACTCTTTTTTCAAAAATAAATGTTCAGTTCAGGATTCTGGCTGATTAGTATCTCTTGATTGCAGATCCAATGGATTTGAACAGAAGCGCTTTGCCAGGCTTGCCAGCAAGAAGGCGGTGGAGGAACTTGCCTACAAGTGGAGTGTTGAGGATATGTAACTTTTCTGAGGCTGTCGGGTGGCTGTGGGTTGTTTTAGTGGATGCAGAGCAGCCAGACATCCAGCTGTAATAGTCCTCTGTGCTAATAATCAGGGCCCGCACAGACCAGCGACTTGCTGAATGCCAGGTGTGACCACAGAAGGATATTTGAGATGTGATGTTTGGACTGAGGCACCTGTACTTCTCAGGTGTGCTGACACTGCCTGTTGCTGGCTTTCAGAGGAAGCGTTTATTTCTCAGTGTCCCAGGGTTTGTTCTTGGTTAGGGTATTTCTTTTTTAATAAACATACATTTATTTTTTTAAAATAATTTTCTTAATTGGATATTCTATTTTTGAGAAGAATACAAGCTAATATTGAACCCCCAGGGATCTTGGAGGGTGATGGTTGGATTTGTCATTAATCTAGGAAGCAGTATGAGTAAAAACTTTACCAGTGATAGATCCTTCCTCTTAGAAGATAAGAATTATTGCTAAACTAGACTTAGGAATAGATGGCTATTTGGAGACTTTACTTGATAAAGGTAGTATCACAAGTTAGGAAGAGATGGATAATGGTGCTTAGAAAATTAGAGTATTATATGGACAGAAACAAAGTTGAATCCCTACCCTAGACCATATTAAAGCAAAGACAAACCCCAAAGTGATTAAAGACATAAATGAAAGGTAATATGCTAAAGCTAGTAGGAACAAATGGAGAATGTCTTTGTGACCTTGGAGTGAGGATAGATTTGTTAAATAAGATCTCCAAAGCACAATCCATAAGATTTAATAGCTTTGTCTACTTCATAATTAAAAGATTTCTAGTCAGCAAACACCCTATAGTCAAAGCTAAAGATGGGGATAGATTAGGAGAAAATATTTGCAATGTCTAGAACTGACAAAGGATTACACTTACAACAGATCAAATATAGAAGGAACTACCGTAAATTGGAAAGAAAAACAAAACACAGAATAAAAAGAGGCAAAGAATATGAATATGTAAACTCTAAACAGAGAACCAGAATGGCTGATAAGTGTATTACCACTAGAATTAGAGAAATAGAAATCAAAGCATTAATGAGTTTCTACTTTGTATATTAATTTAGCAAAAATAAGCAAGAGAGTGAATTCTCATGGGAAATGAAAACCCATGGGGAGTTTTGAGCTGGTGCATCCATTTTGGAGAACAAATGGGCAACACTTAATTGAAAATAAGTAATATCTGGGATACAGTATTGCAGAATTTTTCAAGAAAATTACTCTGGAGCTATACTGTCTGAGTTTGAATCTAAGGTATATCTTACTGTGTGACCTTGATAAGCCACTTTTCTGTGTTTTAGTTTCTTCATCTTTGAGTGGATGTAATATTAGCCACCTTGTCAGTTTATTGTGAGCTTAGAACAGTGCCTGGCACATAATACATGTCACAAAATTGTTAGCTGTTTCTATCATCATCTTCCTAATCATCAGGTGTTGATAGGCAGCCTCCAAGATGGCCACCAGAGATCCCTGACTCCTGGTGCTTAAGCCCTTGGGTAGTCCCCTCCTACAGTGAATAGGGCTGACCTATATAACCGAAAGGATGTGCTGGAAATGTGGGACTTCTAAGGCTGGGTCATAGAAGACATTGAATGATCTGCCTTGTACTCTGTTGGGTCACTTGCTCTGGAAGAAGCCAGCTACTGTGTCACAAGGACATTCAAGCAGCTCTCTGGAGAGGTCCACGTGGAGAGGAAGGGAGGCCTCTCACCAGTAAACACAGGAGTTTCCCAGCCATGTAAGTGAGCCACCTTGGAAGTGGATCCTTTAGCTCCATTCACACCTTTAGATGTGTATGCAACCATTATCAGTAATGTGGTCACAACCTCATGAGATCCTGAGCCAGAATCACCCAGCTCCAAATTCTTGAACCGAAGAAACGGAGATAATCATTTATTATTTTTTCTTTTTTAAACTTTTTTCTTTTTTAAAATATTTATTTATTAAAATTTTTTTGTGTATTTTTTAATAGCTTGAGATGCAATTCACATTCTACACTGTTTACCCATTTAATGTGTGTAATTCAGTGGTTTTTAGCATATTGCAGAGTTGTGCAACCTTCCTCACAATGAATTTTAAAACATTTTGGATACAGAAAACTTTGTATCCATTAGCAGTCACTCTTCACTCATCCCTAACTCCCCCAGCCCTAGGCAGCCACTAATCTGTCACTATAGATTTGCCTATTCTAGACATTTCATGTAATATGTGAATGGGACTGCCATGCAATATGTGGCCTTTTGTATCTAGCTCTTTTCACTTAGCATAATGTTTTCAAGGTTCATCTGTGTTACAGTTTGTATTAGTACTCCACTCCTTTTTATGGCTGAATAATATTTCCTTATATGGATATACCACATTTTATTTATCCGTCTGTTGGTAGAAGTTTGAGTTGTTTCCACCTTTTGGCTATTGTGAATATTGTTGCTGTGAACATTCAAGTACACATTATTGTATGGACATGTGTTTTCATTTTTCTTGGAGATTTGCTGAATCATATGGTAACACCATGTTTTACTTTTTGAGGAACTGCCAAACTTACAAAGCAGTGTATGAGAGTTCCAATTCTTGCTAATATAGTGTTACTATCTGTCTTCTTCATTATAGCTATCCTAGTGGTATAAAGTGGTGTGTCATTTTGGTTTTGATTTGCATTTCCCTCATGCCTACTGTTGTTGAACATTTTTATCTTCTTTGGAGAAAGGTATATTCAAACCTTTGCCCATTTTTCAACTGGGTTAGTTGTCATACATGCACACACATGCATACATACACACTTTTATGTAAAATTCTTTATATATTCTGTTAACAAGTCTCTTATCAGATATATGATTTGCAAATATTTCCTCTCATTCTGTGGGTATATTGTTTTAAGCTGCTAAGTTTTGAAGTAATTTGTTACACGGCAATAGATAACTAATGCATTAAGTTTGTACATACCTTCCGTCAAAGCAGTTCCACTCCTGGCTATATCCTTCAGAGTAACTTGCACAGATCCACAAGGAGTTACATATAAGGATGTTTATCTACATATAGTTTGGGTAACAAGAAGCTGGAAGCGACTTAGATGCCTGTCTCTAAAGGAAGTGATAAGTAAAATGTGGTATGTGCATATAATGGAATATAATAAAAAAGTAGTCAGAGGCAAGCTGTTAGAAGCTTAGTGACACGATAGACTCCCGGTGAGGAAGATGAGGAACAATGAAATGTACAGCAAAAATTAGCTAAGTAAACTGAACACTGGACGCAACAGAAACACAGCAAGTATTTCCGAGGAGAATATACACCTTAAATTCACTAGAACGGGTGAGTCTGGGAGAGGGAACAGAGTGGGACTAGAATGAGGAGTGAAGGAGGGAAAGGGAAACAAAAGAGGGGCCTTGCATGGATGAATGAGATAGTGTATCCTGAACTCAGGCATGTGATCCACTGAGTTCTTTGTGCCTAGGGCTCTAGGCACAGATCCAGAAGCAAGATGTTGCTCTAGTGGAATTGACATTTAGTACCTGTGTTGGTTAGGGCAGGCTCAAGTGCTGTGAACACAGCAAGAAGCTGGCTGGCTGAGGACCAGGAAGCTGGTCCTCACTGGACACCAAGTCTACTAGTGCCTTGATCTTGGACTTTCCAGCTTCCAGAACTGTCAGAAATAAACATTTGTTGTTTAAGCCACCCTGTCTATGACTTTTTGGTTACAGCAGCCCAAATGGACTAGGACAGAGGCTCAGACACTTTGAAAATCTTAAACCACTATTTTTTCCCCATAACAAAGGAATTTATTACCTGTTTACAAGGAGAGACTGAGGTGGAGGGGAAGCAGATAGGTTCTATTCCAGGTGAGCTTTGTGTTTAGTGGGCATTGGTGACAATTTATAAATTCTTCCTCTGATTTCTCTGCATTTACCTGTGTGAGCACAGCTCATTCTTAGGGCAGAGGCCTCTCAGCCTGTTCGGCTGGTAGCTGGCTGTCATTCCCTAGGCTGGGTGCTAGAGGGCAGTGTGATACATCTTTCCGGACTGGGGAAGCAGGGCCCTGGGGCCATGCACTCTTGAAAATAATAAGCCCTAGGATCTCTCAAGAATATAGGTGGCTAAATTCAGTTGCATTTTCTTCTACTTCTTATCTTGCCTCCAACTGGTAAAGACTTTCAAGAGGGAGACCTAGTATTTAGGTTTTGATCAAAATCTCCCTTTCTTTCCTGTGTTTTCCTCCTCTCCTATGCATTCTTCAGTCTGAAGTTTAGACTTAAGGAACAGTGAGGAATACTAAAAACTACTGAATTGTATGGTATATGAACTATATATACCTCAAGTAAAAAATATAGTGAATCTTATGGTATAGGAAATACATCTCAAATAAATGTAAATTTTAAAAAAAGTGGTAAGCAGACACTGTAGTTCAAATAAAATATGATTAATTGATGGTACTGATTCCAGGAGCCTTGATGCTTTACCATTGGTTCATTAGCAAGAGGGAAACATTCTGATCTCTTTTTTCCTGAGGTTTCTTGGAACACACTGATCTTCCAGGATCCAGAGGGCATCATTCCTTTCTAAAGAGGTGACTCACTCTTGCTTAATCAAAGAACTGGATTAGGGTTAGGGCATGCCTGGGAAATCCTGGTGAGCAAGCTGAATCTAGGCCATGAGGTAGCTATGTTGAGGCCTGGGTTTTAGGTTTGAGTTTGTTGAGAGATGTGTGTCCTGAACTGTGCATTTTTGCATAAGTTACTTGGGCAGTTTCTTTCTTCCAATTCCTTTTTTTTCTTTTTGAGTTTTGAGTCCTGTTGTTGGCATAAATACTTCTGGAGCCGGCTTTTAGGCAGCTGGACTGGCCTGTAAAAATAGGTAGAGAGATTTTTGGGGCCAGGCGGGAGCCAAGTCACGCCTCCCCTGTGACGCTGTTTTGCCACATGCAAGTGACATTACTGTGTGTGGGAATGACTCAGTCTTTCCTTTGTACCTGAATGTTTTCATCTGCTCAGTAGCGGAAGTATGTTTGGCTCGTATTTGATGCTGTTGACCTTGGGCTTACACAGGTTCACCCTTTCAGAAAACAAGGGCATTTAGAAGGTCCTGGTGGTAGTCTGAGCCTCAGCTGGTGCCTGTGAACCCATACCCTTGGGAGGGGACAGAGGGCGGTCAACTGGAAAGGGAATAAATCTTCCCCTTCCTGCATACTACGTTCAGCATCCTCTGTCAGGTAAGGAATTATAAGGAGTTGCAGGTAAAAATGCAATGTCTAGTGCTTAGTAAGCAGGGCCCATTTTGTGTGTTTGTTTCTTTTTTTTTCTTTTGGCAAGAGAGCTTAACTTGCTCAGAATTGCTCTGAGTTGGAAAAAAGCCAGAATTTAAACATTAGACTCCTCTCTCTGCCATTTTCCCCCATCCATCCTCACCCCAGTGGCTGGGTGAGAGGTACAGGGAGAGCCCAGGGCCTGTCCCCTGTTCACAAAAGGAGCCCTAACCCAGGGCTTCTCATAGCCTCTGTATTGAGGGTCTCCACGGCATACTTGGGGCTGAGGTCTGCAGTCCTGCAAGAATTGCTTGCTGGTATTTCACTTGGAGCCTGGCTCTGGAGACCCTGAATGTGCTAGAGGGGCACTTACTCTTGACTCTTTTTACCAGGGATTGGGGAGAAGGTAGATAAGACATCTGGGAAGAGAGGAATGCATGCCTAGGGAAATAATAATAGTAGTAATAATGTTAATAATAATGATTTTAATTGCTATCTTTTGTTAAGTACTTGACCACGTGTCAAGCTTATGTTAAGTGCATACATACCTCACCTATGTGGTCAGGGAGTGATCAGAGTCTGTAAGTGGCTGCAGATCTGGTTTTCCCAAGAAAAGTGGGATTCGGGTGTCTGGCAAGTTAAACTATTTCCTGTGTTCCCTGCATCCCCCACCCCCTTACCTTAGGGTGACGGG